ACCGACCTCACACTCAGGTATCCCTCACATCGACAAATTGAAATAATGGAAGGTTTTTCTTCGATGCCAGCAAACAAACACATCATCAACTTGCGTACGATCTCTTAACTGTTCGATTTTGATTCTGATTGCGGTGATTGGTGATAATGTAGATAAGTTCTTTTCGAATTGGCTCGGAAACGGAATAGTTTGTCATGCAGAGTTTGGAAAGCGGTGGAAAGCCATTTCTGGTGAGCCTTTTCCACAGTGATTTTGTCAATACATTACTCGGGAATAACATTGATTTCAAACGTAGTGATATCCCGCGTTTTATCCACGTATTTTTCCTCTCCAGATGAACAGACGATTGAAAAAGTAACCCATTTTGGATGATCTGAATCTTTGATAACACTGAAAGTTAGTGAAAATTTAACCATTGGCGTGCCTAATAAACATATTGCGCAGTCACTATGAGTTTACGGGTGAAAGAAAATTCGCTCTCATAGACAGTGGGACACTTAGGTTGACAAGATTTTCGAATTTGGTTTAGGGTAACCCATCTAAAACGATTGAGTTATGAGTAGTATTTCAACACTATCGACCACTGGTCTATAATAGATTTTCATAGTTTTCAAACGTTTCTCCGAGCATTTCCAGCTTTGCTTTTAGTTGCTAGTTGGTTATGGATAAAAACACTGTCAACGCTTCCGTACCTCGATATGAGTTTGAGTGAATCAAAATAATCGATTGTTTTTGTGCCCGAGTTTAGTGCCTTTCAGCTAGTTCAGGCTTATGAGGTTAACACTGATTGTCCCCTATGAAAGTGTACAGTAACCCCTTTCGACGTTATGAAACGCAGCTACCAGCTGAATCCACTGTGACTTCGCTGCGTGAAGATGCAAGCATATCGGATGATCTGTCCGGATTCGGACACATAGAGCGTTCAGTTTTCATGAAGTACGGGTGAAACTGCCCTATTTTAACGAAGCACAATTGTCGCACCCAAGTTACCCATATTGAAGATGATATGATATGAATAAACATNTGATGCTTGTTGAGCATTTGGTTAATTGGATGAATTGAACTTTGTGTGTGATAATGAAGCTTGAAGGATAGTTAGTCCACACAAGAAGAGGGTCTATCCAGTTAAACGCATACGGTTCATCAAACTGTAAAGATTGGAAGCCGTGCGTTTAACTCTGGTTGAAATATCAGAGGATAGGGGAGAACACTGCTTTGCCAAAAGAGGGCAAATGATCAAATACTTAGTACAGTATTCGTTTAGCTTACCTATCTTTCAGTTGACGCTTGGATCTTCAGTAAACAAGCCCGATGATTGGTCTATGCTTTAATAGATGTCCAATTACTATTCGTTCGCAGTAATCAGAAAAATGGTATCTGGATGCCGAGCTCTTGTGAGGCATATCCGGCTGTGTAACTCAAGGATAATCAGCATACTCTATCAAATTGTTAGTTTCTTCCTCTATGAAATAAATCCAAAGCATGTTGGCAAAAGCGTTTATTTTGTGTGGGTTTATGGAAAGAGTTCGATCGAATACTCCTCTAGTTTGCACGGATAAAAAATGTATCCACGTTCACCTGATACTTCACCAGACATTGTTGCATTATTTGCTTCTTGCCGAACATCTCACGTGATTCAGTACTGGTGATGCACATGCATTGTAACCATTTGCTGGTTTGTTAGAAAAACAGTGATCCCGAACAGAGTTATTCTTTCGATAACACGGATTTCATGCCTATATCTAGTGTTTTATTCAGTTGGCGAAGTCACAAAATCCAGTGATTAGAGAAAACCCTTTCTGCTTCTTATTGAAATTGAAGATTGGACTAGTTTGATTTCAAATAGAACAATGTAAGAGTTTTATTATTGGAATAACTTACAAGCTCATGCTTTTCTCGTCCCATTGGTTCATATCGTGGTTTAAAAAAGCAGTGATACATACAATTCCTTGTGTAAACTTTCACATGATACAGGATTCATCCACTGCTGCACGTAGCTTTACTTACGTTGGAATGCAAGGTGTGTTGTTGTTTCATCAAGTCTTACTTTGAAAGATTCAATGTTTGGCGCACAGACAACGTGGGGTCGGACAGAGTTCCAGGTCGAACAAACTCTGACTGCGAATGACTGATGCCAGACTGACGCACTAAATCATTCTGTTTACTAGCAATTTCATATGTGAAACACTCTCATCACTGTATAAACAGACAAAACGCGAATGCAGAAATATAATTTGGCTTGAATATAATATAAATGATGTCATTGAACGCGATGGACAAATCATTATGATTACAATAGCACATAGGTTTGTTTTATTAGGTCTGAAATTTCTAATTGTTAAGTTCACCGGAGTGAGGGCAATGTCTCGTAAGCGGTCGTTCATTGTAAAGAGGCCTCTGAGTTCTTTCTATCGGCTCGTATACCTCAACCCCGATGGTCCGTTTTTGTTCCCTATCGTTCGTATTCAGATTCCGCGGCTTTACCTACAAAATCCTAACAATGCTCCACTCATAGGGGAACTATGAGACGAGGTCAAACGTTGTTTGAAGGTCATCACAGGAGTGAATCCACTTGAGATCCGGATTCGAACTGGTACCCTTCCCGTCCTGTTTAAGCGATTCGCGCAGTCACCGCGCCCAATGCAAGCAAGATGACTCAGTGGACGGGGTTGTGTGGCGCTTGTCTATTTGTATACAAGTTTCTCCCACTCTGACTCACTGAAGTTGTTCCCACTGTGTTTACTGACTCTATAGTTGTGTCCTCAGTAAGACACGGGTAAAAGAAAACCCAGACGGCTCATTTACCTTTTGAACTTTTGGGCTAAGAATAGTCCACTAGAGCAGGGAAAATTAATAACTGAAAATGACCTCGAACAGGCGTAACGAATGATGATCGGACCATGATTGTGTTTTGCATGGGGACAGTAAGACAGTTCGATAGTTTTGTAGAACAACGAGCTGTTCCGTTGCGTATTTGGAGTAAGATTGAGATAACCTGAATGTCTTCTAGTTTCATTAATAAAAGAATTCCCTCGTTCGCGTTTCGGGAAGGGACAGAAAATGTGTGGATTGAGGATGAGTCAAGTAGTAGGGACGAACTAGGTGTCCAGCACTCTGTACCGTCCACCACACAGCAGTTCTCTCACAATCGTAAGCAATTCGTGCAGTTTGATAGTGAAATGATCACTAGTCTCGACGGGATTGGAACCCCTATATGAAAGCCATTTTCGCTTCTGAACAGCACACGCTTCATCAGCTCAGCTGTTAGACTACGTCGATCAATGATCGGTTCGCATGTGGTTCCTCCACTCAGCTCACACAGACACAGAGTTTATCTGTCGGATTCATCAGATTCTAGAAAAAAACCGGCCATTCGCAATCATCTTACTTACTTATGTATTACCTGAAGTCAAAATTAGATTTCATGGAATTCACTTCGAATTGTACCAATTGCTGAAATTGAAAAATCAATTCATTTCACTGTATTTGATTGAAATTTTGTATACTAAATCAACTGTTCTGTGCCAAATTACATTCAGTGACATTTGTGTTTTTAAGCTTTGGTACTATTTAAACTCGCGTAAAAACGCTTTCCACATGTTAGTGAGGCCTTCCCTAATCCTCCCGTACTAGAAACCAAGCCAGAAAGACCCTCTAATCTGGACAGTTGTGCAATACAGCAGAGCATCACATCAACATTCCCGTGTAGATAAATACACACTTTGTATCGCTTTCCACATTTGTTTCATATCCATTTTTTATTGCGCAAACGAAGAGGATGAGGTCAGACAGTAATCCCATAAACAATGAAGGAAAAAAACCGATATATTGGACCAAAGTACGTGGTAAAATTAGCACTCATTGTTCATTTAATGCTGCATCATGTGGCATCCTGATGCGGAAGAAGGTTTTAAAGGCCAACTCGACTAGTTCACATCTGGATAGCACATTTACCTACCCAAACATCCTGAATGTATTTAAATCACGATACATTTGGTTAATATTCCCGAAAAGATAACGACGGGCTAATCGCAAATTGCTTTCAATGTGACAGATCATCACACTGAACCGTAAGTCGTTAGTTCCCATTCATCTATGGCCAACGGACTTTTTGCCGTTTTATATGAGTGCCGCTGGAGGGTGCTCCAATCATTGAAGCCCTTCGGGTGGTTCAGAATGTTGGTTGTACAAGTATTACTAACAGGAAAAAGTAAAAGACGGCTTATTTAAATCATTGTTTCCTTGGTAGCTTTGATTTGTTTCTTGAACCGATATGATCATATGACATGAAAACTCCATCTTTGATTAAATTATTGTGGTATGTCAAATAGCATAAATGGAGTTTTTAATTTCTCTTGACCAATTTGTTTTCAACGTTCTATTTACATGTAAGATCAATAAAAACGATACCCAGTGGCCGAGTAGGTAGCATGCTTGCGTTCTATCCATGAGGTCCCGGGTTCGATCGCCAGTTGACTCGATGGATTCACACTGCACGGATGAGACCCAACTAGGTCGAAACAGTTGTCCAGTGCTTCCCAGCTTTTCAGCTCACACCTCATTTACACGATGAATAAATCATGTAAATAAATCAAATCCTTCATTACTCTCATGCAACAAAAACGATCCTTCCAATTCAAACTAACTGCCATCCAACGGTTGAGCGTTCTTATAACATTATTATGAACATAATCATTTGTTGTATTTTTTTTATCAAATTGTATTCTCGATGGTGAGGGAGTATATCTTAAACAGTAACTTTTTTTAGGAGAGTTGCGTTTTGTATATTGTGCACATCAACCAAATCCACGGTGAGTGGTAATCCGCAGCACCTGACCACGGGAATCTTAGTAACATGCTTGCCACACATCGATATTCCATGATAACCGCGCTCACTAGTCACCGGTAACATTCGCTCCGTACTGACTAAGATCGCATAAATTATACCACCATACAGTACATCGGGATAGTGCAGAATCAACAGATAGTTCTTTACTTACTGTGTTTTTCAATATCAGGCCTCAATCGAGGACAACGTAAACTTTTGGGAGAATTCTGATTTGGTGGCATAGATTCCACAATCCGCATAATCAGCTGACGGTCAGCCCACAGATTCAACTGTGCCATGGCACCCCAGAACGGTACACCGTATCGATCCAGACGACACAGCTGACGAATATCGGACCAAACGGCTATCAGGACGAGAACAATCGTGGCATTCAATCGGCACGCCTCCTCATGAATCAGTCGCATTTCTGGCTGAGGATAGAACAGAACAATATTCAGACCGGATGAATTTGGCCTGGGCTGTTTGTAAAACATGGGCATGATTAAATTTGCGACTCAAAGGTTTTTCCAATTCTTTTTAGTACTGGACCAGAATTGAGTTATCGAGTACTTTTTGTTTTTTGAGAACAGGAAAACCTATCAATTCCATACCCATTTGACTGGGATAATTTTGCGCACGGTAACAAGTGGCTCAAATCTAACAGTTATGTTGTTTCTCTATCAGAGCTGAAATGCTCCACACACACACACACACACACACACACACACACACACACACACACACACATACTCTCTCACACACACACAATCCTTTGGTTTTAGCTATCGCACAGAACTTTTTAGCCGTCGGTTATCCAAATGAGGCTTCGCTCGGGGCTTGTCTGCTGCTGGGCTGTGGTCGAACGACTGTAATCCCCCTGTGAAATTTCACTCATNACACACACACACACACACACACACACACACACACACACACACACACACATTCATACAATCATCCTTGTACGATGTTATCGAATTCAATGTGCTGCATCTGTACAGATACTACCTGCAGCTATGATTTATTCATTTATATTGGCAGATTATTTAAGAATAGTTCAATAAACTTTGAGTGTGTTTATA